GTAATTAAAAAAAATATATGGTACTTAAATGAGACACTCTGTATACAACGTATATTTTATTCGAATTATTATGGTCTTTTATGAAGAATAATTGTCGTGAGTGGCTGTATATCGAAGAACAGAGATATATCGTGAACATTCGAATGTAATCGAGAAACTTTGATTGTTCGTTTTATGAAGCGATCAACCGTATGATTTATCGCCACCCGTCATCCAAAACAGAAGCTCTTAATTGTCATTTTTATTCGTCGAACCATCCGCAAGGTTCTCACGAGCATGTCGCAACGCACGATTCGTGTCGTTGTTTCGAAATTTCTGATGATTGCTCCCGATTCTTTGTAGCTTTGAAAAAGTCCGTCGTCCGCGTTCGAAATGCCAAGAGGCATGTTTAGAAAGGTAGATATTCAAAATAGATCGTGAGATCCAGGAAGGATTAAAACACGTTTTACAATGTCAGAAATCATTTAACCCCATTCTCTTACTCTGAGAACCCTTTCACGATAAAAAAAAAACATCAAAATTCGTGAATACAATTATGCGATTTAAGTATGCAAACATATTTACATGTACAAGTGCAACTTTTAGGTATACAAATAAATAAATGAAAAACGTTCATACATTGTCGATATATTCATTTCTATACAGAAGATTTTAGAGAACAGTGCAATGTACAAAATTTTTAATGCAAAAGAATTTATTAAAAAAAAATAAAATTTCGAATTTAGTTAGACTTAAGAAAATGTAGAACTGTACATCTTCACAGAATTCAATAAAGTTTTATATGAATAAGCTGTAGATTTTCAAGTGGAAAATTCATCATGTACTTGTTGAAAGATTCATTCGATCAATAACATTCACTACATAAAATTATCTGTTTTTCAAGGTGTTTTATTTTTCGTTGCGTCAACAGGCCTCCGGATATCCCGAACGCGGTCGAGCCGCTGAATGTGCAACGAGAACCAATTCCATACGCCTATATGGTATCCGCGTACGATCGGAATTTTCCGATAGCCACCGAGTAACGATTTATGGACACGAACCGCTTATACACAACTTCAACTTTGGGTCTAAAACGTATCAACGACATCTGTTCGTACTCGACCAAACAACAATAAATATGTAGGAACTACCAACGAAGCGACAATAAGTATATAGAAACTTGAGGATGCTATTAGAAGAGGGCGAAAAGTTTCAGCCTATCTGGAAATTTCAAGTTCGGAAACTTAGATATTATCAAACTTTTAAATTTAGTTTCAATATAGTTTATACTTTCAGAATGATTTTGTAAATTATTTCTAGTTTTAAGTTGTGTTAACTATGTATTACTGTTGAGAGGTAATCTCAACAGTAAAATCAGATGGATTAAGATCCATCCCTTAAATCCTAAGGGATGAAACACTGCATTGGAAAAGTGTCGTTTAAATGACCCTTTCTACAATACTCTCCTACAGTTCTGTTCAAGACCATATATCGAACCTCCAATAAATATAATACTCTTCCACACATTTCCCATAATACTATCCTACCAGAAATTGTCATCTAATGAACCTGATATTCTTCACATACTTCTAACGCTATCCTGCCACATCAGCAATTACATCCTCCAATATCTTCTACAGCCCAGGGCCATATATCGAGACTCCAATATACGTGATATTACTCCCTACATTTCCCGTAACACTATCCTACCAGCAGGTTAAAAACATTTCAACCCTCCAGAGAAATCTGTGGTCGACACCTGGATCGTATCGAATTCAGCGCAAGTTTTCAGTACCAGGTGACCGAGATGGTCAAAGAGCGTCGAACAAATTGGCTATTCCTGTCCGGTGCACGGCGATTCGCAACAGAAAAGTATTCCCAACATTTCCGAGCGACGAACACGGCGACGAGACCGTTGACTATAGGACAACGATGCCCTGGGGCAAGGACTACGGGTTGCGACCCCAATCGCATTCGGACTTCGGACTGCGCAGGTGTGCGTGGTCATTAATCCAGAAATGGAAGAGAATGCGAGTCCAAACGCTATTCAGGAGCTCGCACCACGCGTTACATCGCTTGTCTCTTTCGCCTCTTCCTCTTTCGCCGATTTTCTTCCTTCTTTTTTCCCTCGAACCGCGATTCAAGTAATAAAAAAGAGGCGTGGCCCGTGCCCCCCGACTGAGCGATTTCGCGGTTCGAACTCTTTTAAGTGTACCCACGTTGCACGCCACTTTACGCGAGAAACGACTTTTTGCTTCAACGCCTTCTATATGAAACTGGTACCTCTCTTGTCTTGGCCATTAAGCTCGCTTAGGATCGTTTCAGGGACCAACGACTTTTTGCCCAATGCTGTTTCGCTCGAACCTCGGGATATCAGCCGGAGGTAACATAATTTCATCTTCCGCGAGACATTCGAGATACGACGACGAATTAGGTAGCGAGACGCGTGTGATGCGTGGGGAATTGATTCCTCGGCTGGAACGACATTACGTTCAAGATAGAGCGAAATATGTACTGTGATTCACGTAGTTAAAATTACTATAGTGTTTAACGCTCAAAATAGGTTCTTAGAAAACCAAACCATGACAGCGTTCACACAGATTATTTGAACACTGAGTAAATAGGGATAGGGAAACATGAATCTGAGATTGCAGAAGTTCCACAAATTTTGAAATTCCAAAACCTTAAATTCTTTAAGAATTTAGCCAAAAATAGCAAAGATAATAGAGTGAATACAGGAGTTTCAGAACCCATAAATCTTCAAGCCCCAAATTGCTTAATCCGAAATCTCCAAGACTCAAATACTGAAATGTTCCTAACCTCAGTAATTTATCTTCATTGCAACAATCGAAAAAATTGTACATGAATAAGCTAATGCAAACGTTTCAGAATCAAGACCTCAAGTTTTAAGTCCTGAAACCCCAAATTCCTTAATCCGAAATCTGCAAATCCCAAGTCCTCAAATTCCCGAAACATCGCAGCAGTTAGCTCCATGGACAAAAAAGATTATATCTTAATGAACGACTATTAAAAGAAATGATAGCAAGGTGAAAGTGATACGAGAACAATTTACCGTTAAATCGCAGGTCGCGGCTAATCGTTTACGTTCGCGCTACGCAAGGACGAAGTCTATCGCCGATATAGCCTTGGCTCGTTCGTAAAACCCGCGTCGCTTTTCCATAGAACGGCCAGAGACGGTGGGCTCGTCCGCGAACGGTATGCAGAAAAAATCACACATAATTAACCCATAAAGCAACGCAATCGCCGGAGATCTCCACGGTTTACCCATAAGCGAGTGTTTGACCACATTCGAGCCGCGCCATTTCAGCGCGTGCACGTTTACACGCACACGAGCGTGATTCGACCACGCGCTCCTAGAGACAGGCAATAGACGATAGGCGGTTTCCTTCGCCTTCGGTTCATAATGTAGATTCTACGGTGTTGCGAACGTTGGAATTTTAAGCACGTCTCACAAACGAGCATTTATTGCAACCAGGCGTTAACTGCGCTAAAAGATCTGCCGGTGTCGGAGAACCGCGTTCGAGATACGTCGAGTATGTTAATCGAATTGCCTGCTCCTTCGGCTAATTGTTATACGAATGCTGCTGTTTTATGGGTCCGTTCCATTCAAACTGTTTCTGGTTATAAAATCTCGAGTATGAGTCACGCGTTAGGGACACTAATCCGCGGTGTCAATGTGGATGTCACTGATTGAAAAGGACGCGTACATTGTTATATTCTTAGACTATATTTGACAAATATCAAGAGTTCTATATTTAACAAGTTTCTAAATTTCTAAGTCTCCAAACTTGACAGTCTGAAACCTGATTTTAGAAACCTGGAAATAGATCCGTTCATCACTGATAAAATAGAACATGTTCTTAAAATGTGGCATCTTCACTGACATGAACCGAAAGGTGTTTCAATAAAATAAAATATGACTACATCACCTAAAACATGATATAGCAGAGACACTCGTTTTATATAAGACTTCATAAAAATATTCATCGTATAAAAATCGTATCCATGTATGGTAAACAAATTAGTATGCGAAATTGACATGGGTATTTAGCGTAATACATGAGCAGAGATGCCGAAGAATAAATTCAAAGCTAGGACGAGTAAGTATATTGTTCTAACGCAAATTATCTCCGCGTTACGTGTCAGTCTAACGAGCTTTTAATCGCTTGATTGCCTTACGGTTTCGTATACGACGGTTAATAAATGGATGAATATTAAGTAAGAGGAGTTTCTATGTTTGCAGAAACTTCTTTAGGAGTAATCGGGTACACGTAACCCCTGTATCAAGCGAGGGCCTTGCAAGGAGATTGTATCGACGTCCCTCATTAAATTTCGCTTTCGACCAATTACGAGATACGGTTATTACGTGAATTATACTTAACTCCGTATCGCCCTTAAGCCGAATTTTCACGTATTCGGACCACTTTGAACGTTCGGTGATTGAATTTTTGCGAAATTAATATGTTGATTGCCGCAGCGAAAACGACCGCTTTAATCAAACTTATTTAGGAAACTTTCGTCTTTTGATTAAACTCTTCCAAATGGTAATTTCGTTTTCAATTAATCTAGCGAATTATTACTTTTATTATATTGAATTCCCGTTCGGCAAATTTTAAGCGGTCAACAAAATTGACTTTGGTTGATTGAACCGTTTTCATTAAGGTAAATGAGAGACGTTTGTGATACCTGTATCTTGTAATTATCATAAAATCTATAATTAGAACTTTCTGCAAATTTTAATACATTAAGCTGTATTTCTGTATGCTTGATTGAGATATTATGCAAATAATATTTCCCTTAATTAACCCACACATATTCAAAGTAAATTAGATAGATATTTATGCAGTTGATTGTCCTCGATACACTATGAAGTATCAGTGATCAAATTTGACGTAGTATATCGACAAGGAAGTTTTCGCGACTCTTTCAGTTTATTTCGAGAAAGATTCTTTGGACACTCGCTAAAAATGTGCATGCATCGTTAAATTTTATTCACTCACCGATGGAGATGGAGAACGGTGGAGGCGTGGGCGTCGTCGAAGGTGAAGGGATTTTTCTAGAGGCGGCACTAATTATAGCTGCTGGACTATACCGAGGCACCTGCAACACCACAGGAGTTTTCACGGACAGGTCCACTGGTTCCAGCTGCACCGGCGGTCCTGACGCCTGTAACATAAGCAAATACAATCATTATAGCGATTCTATCGCGTTTTATCGTAAAATTGCTATAACACGCTGCACCCGAAAATTGCAGATCCATGATATAATACGATGTACTTTTTAAAAAATAAACCTCATCACAACGATAAATTTGCAGATAAAACATGTACCATATGTAAGAGAATGATAGTTGTAATTAACTGAAAGTATACTATTATCAAATATACTAATTGACTAATAAATTGACTAACACATTTGATTTATACGGATCAATATCAAATTTGAACAATTACATTTATAAAATAATATATTTGATGTGATACTTTAATTATCCAATTATCTAAGTCGTTGCAAAAATAGATTAGTGAAAAATTTAACATTACATGCTAAACTGATTCATACGAATATTTACATTACTATCATAACAGTTTCAAACAATTTAAAAAGTAGAAAGCACCATAAGAAAATCAATATTTGCTAGGTACTAATTATTCGTTCGAATTACCTATTTGAAGTACCTATCTAAAATATCTGGTTACACGTATTCCACACTGAAATAAAAAGTAATAACATTCGAGTAAATATATGTCATTAGCGTACACGCCCTGTGTTCCGATAACCCACAGATATCAAAAAATGATTCAATGATGAAACGCGAAAGTTCATGCCTCCTACAATCGAAGCTATCGCGATTCTATGATCGAACAACCAATCTGTAATCCCCACGAGGGAGTGCACTCGATAAATCGATAGTCGAAGGTACCAGCTTCATACCTGGCTTATCTGCAGCCGTGCTCGATGCTGGTAGCAGGCCCAAGGGCAATTAGCATAACTAGCGTTGCCACTGACATGGACTAATCACGATGAGTTCCCACGAGACCTGAATGACCCGAGTCTGTCCACTGTCTATGCGACTACCAACGTTGTATCGCTTCCTCAAGTATCCGTGATTGATCATCGATCGATAAGCGCGATGAAAACGCAAAGAAAGTCACTTTAACGCGTTCCAAAATCGCCGTGTAAACGAAACCAGTCCGAACACAACGCGAGTCACCGAAATACTGAGCAGAGACGTTCGATGGCGACCTTCATGAGGGTCGATAACGATGTTTCTGATCCGTGATTATACTAATCCTCGTGCTTATGCCTACGTGACGGGGAGTCGAGCTCAAGCGTAGACCTAAATATTGAGTATACGATAACAGTAAACTTGATGGCAGAAGTTGGGTGTTTTGGAACTTGGACATTTGGGAATTCTGAACATGGGAACTTGGGGTATGGGAATTTGGCATATGAGGATTTGACATGTGAGATAAGGAAATTTAGGTATTTGATAATATGTAAATTTGTAAATTTGACACTTGAATAATTTAGAAGTTCGAAACATGAGAATTCAAGAAAAGGACCTCAGAATCTAGAAACCTACAAATTTAAACTTTGAATTTCCTAATTAAAGTAATATCATAAGATTGCCTTTACCTACATCTCCTTTACCAAAGAACGCTAAAATTCTCACAATTACGATCGAAATGTTTTGCGAAACGTTTTCATCAAATTTCAAAATTCTTTTTACTCGAAGAACTACAAGCGTACAACGTAATATGTCAAGGACGAAATTGTCATTTGCGAGAGAAGCAATTTCACACAGATCGAGTCGTCAATTTGTCTTCCTTACGTTTTTGTATATTCGGATAATTACACGATCATAGTCGGTGTTGTCTGTCGCTTGCGCTTAATTACTTGTATATTTCCATTCATTTGGGAAGATTTATGATCGCGCTACACGCGAAAACAACATCGGAGTCAGCTGTATTCTAATTTTCATTTGCGTTGATTGAGAATCGTATCACAGTTTAATAAATCTGCTGAATTAGGGTTTCAGTAAATAGAGGTTGCATGATATTCTCGATCTTTGGAACGACATGCGTAGAAAGTCGAGATCCGAAGAATTAGTAGCTTGGGAATCAGAAAAATATTCCAAATTTGAAGATATGGAAATTTGCAAATTGAAGAAATGTTCACACTTAAGAAATGTGAAGAAAATTTGATAGTTCAGAAATATAGAGATTTGGTAAGCCAGAAATTAGAAAATATATAGAATTTGTTAGCTCAGAAATTCCAAAGTTAAAACTTAGCAATTTATAAATTTACAAATGCAGAAATTTGAAGATTTAAAAATTTGCAAATTTGTAAATAAAAAAGTTGATATCTGAACATCTCAAAATTCGAAAGCTTGAACACTCAGATATTTGCCAATAAGAAAATTTAGAGGAACTTCGATAACTTTGTCAAGTTTTGCCCTAATCCAAAGTACCCCAAGCCGACAAAACTTCGGCTCTTTTTCTGATATGTCACACCGTTTACATCCTGTTCACGTTACCATTTCACAGATTTATCCGACACGGTCGTCTCGAAGAAGTCGTTATTAGCCGCAGTATCGTGTACCACGACCCGATACCGTTCGTTCGTTGTTATATCGTGGGGGCGGAGGGCGGATGCTTTTCATTGTCGATATATGCTCGAGCATTCCCACGTTTCGTCAAGACATTACCTGGAAACAATCGCTCTCGGTGGTCGAAGCAACACTGCTGTAAATCTGATCTTCCGTCCGACTGTTTTGTAAATCCGATACCGGCACGATTCCTCGCGCGACTACGTAGAATACAAAATGGCTGTTTTTCGCTGTCGCTCGCGCGGAGGACGGCTTCTTCTACTTCGCCGAAACAGGTTGCATCCTGATATCGAATCAGGACCACCTTCCTTACTATTTCCGTACTTCTTTTTACCAGCATAACTAATAGAATTGATAAATTATTTCAACCCCTTGTTTGTTGACATTTACACGCTTAGACACACGCTTGATGAACTTGCATACTTGTGCACACAAATGTGTAGCAACAGTAAGTACATTCAGAACATTTATAAGATTTGAAAGACCCCGTCATCTGCTTTAGATTAATGCAACTAAAAGAATGTACTTCTATTTTGATCAACTTTGACTAAATTAAAGAAAAAGAATAAAATCATTGCTTGAGTGTTATGTTTAAAATACAATCATATTTAACACCGCAAAATTTGGACGTATATTTTACGTACTCCAGACTAGGCAATGTGTTGAACATTTTATTTATTATTCATTACTCACAACATTATTAAAAATTATTTAAAATAAAGTTGTTTCAAGTATTCTGTATGTACTGAATGCAGTATTGAATACACCGTTTACAGAATCCTCATGAACATTGCGTAACGTCACGTTTAATCGCACAAAGATTGCGCCTCGATGTTATCATGAAATTGTGTTACGAGTTTCCAGAACCAAATGGCTGGTTTAGATGTTAGATACAAATTGGTGTGCGGTTTATAACGTTAAAAGCAGTTTGTTTATGATAATAGTTGGACATTCGTAATCGAAAATCCTGTCTAAAACAGGAGGAACTTGCGAAACGGAACGGTGAATCGATCCAAAAAGAGATACTCGTCACGCGAGACACGCCCATGCCAGCGTTCCCGTTTTCAGGAAACTCGTCGTTACGTGCATTTGTTATTCATGAACAGGGACGTGGGTCTAGCCTGTAGTTTCGGCCACGACAATGAAATTGTAATACGATACACGTCGAGACACACTGAGACGTTGTCTTTGCAATTTTATGGATCTAATTAACGAAGTAATCGATTCTGGGACTTTACCGAGAAACTTGTCAAACTGCCTTCATTTCTGCGAGTATGGTTTCATTCAGTAATCGGAGAAGAATGTTCAAACTTTTTCATTTTTTAATTTTATACTTCCTATGTCTTGAAATTTTTAAATTAGCAAATTATTAAATTTCTTAGTTTTGAAAGTTTTATAATCATTCTAAACTTATTTTCTTCAGCTTCAAGTATGTACATTTTTAAAATTCAATTTCATATTTCTGTATTTATACATTTCTTAAGGTCTACAATTTCAACTAAATTATGAGCTCTATCAAATTATCAGATCACCTCTAAATTACTGCTTTTGTTTAAAAAAGCAGGAAGTTTGAAGAGCAACTTTTATCACCTGAAATGTACAGCAGTGAGTTCATTACAGGGTACTTGATCTACCCATCACAGAATTTCACGAACGACCTTCGTTCTATCTCACAGCCATAAATATCGGCAATATCTCGACAAAACATGTCTCGTAAAAAAAAACTGTCCAACACAATTTGTCTCGTGCAGAACACGACGATACTTCGGTCTCGAAAAAAAAGACGAAAGAAACGAAGGTGATCGAACAACTCGGTGGATGAAATCAAACGACGTATTAAATCCGCGATGACTAATGAAAGACCGGGTAAACTGTTCTTAATGATGCCCAGTGAGCCCGAGATACATAAGGAACGTACATATGTAGCACTTTATATACTGTATATTACACGTACATATATTCCCACAGTAGCGACTGGTAATGAGAATATAACGTTCATCAATCATTCGTTAGGCAATCCGCGACCGAACGACTCCCCCTGGAATTAATTTAATTACTACAAATGTTTCGCGATAAAAATGGCCGACGATCAATACGTTGTCAGTTTTAACTTATATGTCTATAATTGTTCGTGGTCCGAGTGCAAATTTATGCAAGCGGACGTGGAGCGTTTTGCCGGTTTCAAAAAGAAAAGAAAAGCAGAAACGGCGGTAACGCGGTCTCGTGAAACGTTATTAGATCGGTTAAACGTAATTAAGAAAATTTAATATGGATAATGACCTCTAATAAATGTAATAATATGTTAGCAGCCGGTGATCGATAACTTTTAATGAGCCGTCATCTTAGGAAATTGATACCCGGGTTCTTTCATTTGTCAGCCGTGCGTTGAAGAAAAAAAAACGAAACACTGAACGAATATTATCTTGAGGCCGGCAAACTAACCGCGAGTCAGACTGGTAATTAAGCGTTACGTAATCTCGTGAAACATACGGACCTGTTATGATCGACCGAAATTTCAATTTCGTGTTTTCGGGCGAAAATACGGAAAACGCCA